GCGTAGGCAATAAAGAAATCAACGTGTTGGATTTGCTACTGCTTACGTTATAACCTTGCATTCGCGATTGTGATTGATCGATTCGCTTATTCCTTAATTACGACTTACTGCTTAAGTTTTTTTTTGTGCCATGGCCCTAACTTGCAATATTTCGTCGCCATATTGAATATTTATATACGAACATGTGTCACATTTAATTGGTTAGTGTATTGAGTGTAAAAGTGACTCATTTAAATGTAAATATTCGTAATATCTAAATGCTATATAAATGTTAAAATTTTGTATGTGACAAAAATTGTATCATTTTTTTGTTATGTAGTAAAATATGCCTAACGCTCAAAGTTTGACACAAAGTAGTTATATAAGCAAACATAAGAAAAAATTTCAAATGAAAACATCTTCAAGAGGAAGACAAATAATAAAACCCAAGAAATTGCTTACAACATCATTTGATGAAAAGCAACAAAGGAAAAAAAAAATTATAAAAGGAAAATATACAAATGTGCTAGAAGAAGTGCATGAACTTCAGTCTTATACAACACAACCAAATATCTTAAGAGATATTATCTCTGCAAGTAATACGCAAAAAATAAAATCTATTACATCGGAAACATCACACAAAGCAAGTAACTTTTTATCAAGCAATGATATAGATTTTCGCTGTTTGTCACGCAATCACAACATGAAGCAATTGGTCTAACAAGATACTACTTTAACTACACTAGATTCAAATATGCTAGTCAATAATCATAAGTTAAAGTGATCAGTCAGTTTTGATACAAGTCAAAATCATGAAATAATTAAATCATGTAAAAGTATTAATGGCTTGAATAAAAATATATCCTATAACGATATAAAAAAAATCAAAACCTTACCGAGTACACAAAATTGCTTGGTACAATCATTATCAAATAAGAACGCTCAATTCACTAACAATGTCTTGAATATCTCTGAAATGAATAACTGTCAATCTGATTGTGATGTTTATGGAAATACTGAAAGCAATAGACATCGCAAAATAAAGCCTACTGTATTGAGCGTAAAGCCATTACAAATACCAATCGTCTTTTGCAACGACACTCAGCAACCAGGTAAAATTAAATTTTTAATTGGAGTTATTAAAATTTTCTTTTTATCATAGTTTTAATTAAATTTATGACACAAATAAATTTGAGATTGCTTTCTACAGTCACGGCTGGATATTAAGCACCAAAATCCAGTTGCAACCATAGAAGGTGCTCTCAAATTCATTTACGCGAATAACACAAATAAATACTCTAATTTAAATTAATATTCTTTGCAATTTATGACTTATTAAGTTGATAAATTTAGTATGATTAATTTGAAGCATGATTAACTACTTTCAAAAAATTTATTAAATAAGGTAGTTTATTTAAAATTATTCGTACAGCTTATAATAATGATAGAAAAAACTAGTTAAAATTTTATAAACTGTATTACAAAATTCTTTTTTAGAATTATCAAATAAGAAGGACGTTGAATTCACCAGCAATGTCTCGAATGTTTCTAAAATGGATAACTGTCAATCCGTATTAATTGGTGATGGAAATGCCGAAAACAATAAATTTGATGAAAATACGCCTGTTACATTCAATCCATACCACTCGTCTTAGGCAACGATGTTCAAGAATCTGGTAAAATTATAGTTTTGTTTTGATTGAAATTTTGTATTATTATAGTTTTAATTTACATTATTTTAAAGAATGTTTCGAAATTAAAATATGATTAACAAATTTGAAAAATTTATTTAAAAATGTTGCATATACAGGGTGAACCATTTTAATTCATCCAGTCGAATATCTCGAAAATCAAGCCCGGGAGAGAAAAATTTTTCAGACAAAAGTTTTCGGACTTCGAGGGGGACATAAGATGATAACATTGGTTTGACCCTGAGTGGCGTCGTCAAGGTCAGGAGAAGGTCACTTTGAATTTTTTAAATGGAACCCCCAATTTTTCATTACATGTTCTTATGGCACGCCTCGAGAACTTTCCAAAACACATAAATAAAATATTATTTTATGAAATAAATCTTGAATTAGTAAAGACT